GGGCTGGGAAGTTGGCTCAGTGGTAGAGCGCTTGCCTTGCATGCATGAGGCCCTGGGTTCAATTCCTCAGCACCACATAAGCAGAAAAAAAAAAAAAAAAAGCTGGAAGTGGCGCTGTGGCTCAAGTAGTAGAGTGCTAGCCTTGAGCTGAAGAGCTGAGGAACAGCGCCCAGGCCCAGAGTTCAGGCCCCATGACTGGACCAAAAAAAAAAAAAAAAAATCACCAAAAAGGAGTTTAGACATACTCCACAGGTATTATAAGCCAAAATTTACCAATTGGCATTATTTAATACTATTTATAATATTTAATATTACTTGGCATACTAGTAATTATCTAATGTTACTGCTTTTAGGAAGCCCAAATGTTAAGGGTATATATACAATTAAATTTTTAAATAAAGTAACAATGTCTACTTTGTCTCACTTTGTTGGGTACTCCTCTGTCCGGACTGGTTCCGAGAGGTAAGTGCAGCCGCTCACCTGTTCCCCAGCCTCCCTTAGCCCAGGAGACAATCAGACACAGCGGGGGAGTCAAGTCAAGCAGGAACTCATTTATTAACAGTGAGCATCCCCTTTTAAAAGCAAAAGACTGTGTGGGAGGAGAGGAAATGGAACCAACCAATCACTGAAAGGCCATACCTTATCATGCACCTAAACTTCCGTGAGTTATTTACACACTGAACCTGAACAAATCCAGCTCTGCCCACTCAACTTCCTCTCAGGGCCATCTTTGCTACCTGTGTTCCCCACCATCACTTATTTTTAAATCATATACCTTAACCAACTTCAAATATTAAATTACTGAGCTGGGCGCTGGTGGCTCAAGCCTGTAATCCTAGCTACTCAGGAGGCTGAGATATGAGGATCGAGGTTCAAAGCCAGCCCGGGCAGGAGATCGTGAGACTCCTATCTCCAATAAACCACCAGAAAACCGGAAGTGGCGCTGTAGCTCAAGTGGTAGAGTGCTCACCTTGAGCTGAAGAGCTGAGGGACAGCACCCAAGCCCAGAGTTCAAGCCCCACAACTGACAAAAAAAAAAAAAAATTAAATTACTACATAAATATTGCTAGTAATCTCTCATATATTTATGTTGAGTTCACAGTGAATTTTTAAATTATCACAGGGTCTGGTTTATTATTCTAGCTTTCTTTGAATAAGAAAAGGACAATTTCAAAACCATGAAAAATTCCAAAAGCCAAGCAAATATATTTACAAACATATATAGGTGGACATATATGTGTGTATGTACATACACACGCAAAATTTAATTCAGAGTAGTTTGCTTCCTGATTATCCAAGTACTTGTTTATCTGTAATATTTTTAACACATAGTCTTATTTGCAAAAGGGAAGAAATTTATAACTCACCGTTGTATACCATAAGGTCTCTCTAAAATAGGCTCTTCAAATGAGGGTGGAGTGTGACCAAAATAATCAGGATAAGCCACCTCTGTATATTTTGGGACAGATTTTGTATCTTTCACAATCTCAATATACAGGTCAGGGTCATGGAGTGTTGGTACATCAGGAACTTCAACTGATGGCTGTTCAACTGATAAGCTAGACTCAGTATCTTCATCATTTTCAGTTTCAACCCCAGTACAGCAGAGCTTCCCTAGGTGTACTGTTCGTCCCTCAAAAAGAGCATTTCCACAATTAACTACATGTGGGCATGCTTTTGTGCATGTCAGGACACTAAGAGGAAGACTATAATCCTTCTTCACTATGGCAGTCGAGCACAGGGCTGTTTGAGAAGGAATATTCTGCAATGTGATTCGGTCCAAGGCCTTCACAATATCATTGTTTAAGCTGTGGGAAGAAGTAGTTCTGTTTGGATCTCGGAGCTGCTGTAATAATGTTCTGTCATTATCTTTAACATTTTCCTTTGTGACATCCATGAGGGTAGATTTCTTATCACCTTCCTCTCCTTTAGAAGATACTTTCTCCTTCATTACAGTCCCTTTTTTCTTTGGATTCCCAGATGCTTCTTCACCAGCTGTAGGAACAATGGAACCACATACTTTTCCCTTAAATACAAAAGGCTTTGGTTCTTTGGAGATTAAATCATAGTCCTGTAAAAGTGTAAAAAGGAAAGTTTAATCTATTACCAATATTAAAATATATTAGCAAAACATCATCAATTTTGTATGGCATTTAAAAAACAGTGCTTTTATCCATTTTACAAATGGATAAAACAGGCAATGTTATACAATAAAAGACAAAATCACTAATGATAAAAATTCATAACACTTTTTTACTTTTTCTATTATAAAAATAATGCCTCCAGCCGGGCGCCAGTGTCTCATGCCTATAAACCTAGCTACTCAGCAGGCTGATCTGAGGATCATGGTTCAAAGCCTGCCCGGGCAGGAAAGTGCATGAGACTCTAATCTCCAATAAACCGCCAGAAAACCGGAAGTGATGCTATGGCTCAAGTGGGAGAGCACATGCCTTGAGCTGAAGAGCTCAGGGACAGTGCCCAGGCCCAGAGTTCAAGCACCACAACCAACCAAAAAGAAAAAGTAATAATATTAATGCCTACATACCATACCACAGAAAGATGGAAAATTTACAAAGGGTAAAGTCCTCCAAAGTCCTACTACAGAATATACACAACTAGGGCTGGGAAGGTGGCTCAGTGGTAGAGCGCTTGCCTTGCATGCCTAAGGCCCTGGATTCGATTCCTCAGCACCACATAAGCAGAAAAAAAAAGCTGGAAGTGGTGCTGGGGCTCAAGTGGTAGAGCACTCACCTTGCTGAAGAGCTGAGGGACAGTGCCCAGGCCCAGAGTTCAGGCCCCACGACTAGACCCCCCCCCTAAAAAAAGAATATACACAACTAAATTATCATTATTTAATAAATATCACAAAGTATCTAATGATGCCACTCTCAGGGAACAACATTCTAGGCAGAGAGGACTGCCAGGCCAGCAGCATCAGCGAGGAAAAATGCCTACATGATCAAAGACAGGCTGGATGGAACAGAACATAGTAAGGTAAATTCCAAGAAGCCAAAGGAGGCCAGGTACTAGAGGTCCTTAGAGGCTATTTTAAGAATTTTGATTCTGCTCTGCATGGGATTAAGAGCCAAGAGGATATGTGGATGATACAACTGAAGTTTTAAACATACAAAGAGGGAGGGAATACTATTCTATAGCAGCATTTCTTCCTCACATAAGTCGATGATTTCAGGAAACAGAAGGTACTATCTAACATACTTCAGGATGTTTAGCAGTATATATGGGTCTCTACACACTAGATGCCAGAAGCACAAGCCCATACACACACTCCCTATTTGTGAAAAACAAATGTGTACCCAGACATTTTTAAATGTCCACTGTAAGGCCAAATGGATCTGAAAACCACTATTCTGGTACTCCTCTGAGAACAGATTGAGGAAGGAAGAACAGAAGGTGAGAGGCTGTTACAGTGATCCAAGGAACTTGATTAAGAGTGACTGAATTCTGAACATACTGCAGAACCTAATTTAAATGCTGATAGACCACAAATAGGGTAGAAATCAGAGAGGTTGCAGATGATGTTGAAGTGTTCCCAAGAACAACTAGAAAAATATGATTTTGAAATTTAATTCTGGACATGTAAATTGTGGGTTACCAACACACATACAGAAATTAAAGTGAGCTGCTGGATAAGACTCTAGAATTCCAGGGGCTGGGAAGGTGGCTCAGTGGTAGAGCGCTTGCCTTGCATGCCTGAGGCCCTGGGTTTGATTCCCCAGCACCACATAAGCAATAAGAAAAAAGCCGAAAGTGGCGCTATGGCTCAAGTGGTAGAGCGCTAGCTAGCCTTGAGCTGAAGAGCTGAGGGACAGCGCCCAGGCCTAGAGTTCAGGTCCCATGACCGGACCCAAAAAAAAAAAAAAAAGACTCTAGAATTCCATAAAAAGGTTATGCAGAAGATATGTAAACTTGGTGTCATAGCTTGCAGGTATTATTCTAAGCCATGTGACTGAAAATCATTAATAAAAAAAAAGAAAACAGTCATACAGTATTTGAATATAAATGTTGACAGATAAAGATAAGATAGAATAGTAGATCAAGAAAGAACTTGGGAGGCTGGGAAGGTGGCCCAGTGGTAGAGCGCTTGCCTTGCATGCCTGAGGCCCTGGGTTCGATTCCTCAGCATCACATAAGCAAAAAGCAAAAAGCCGGAAGTGGCGCTGTGGCTCAAGTGGTAGAGTGCTAGCCTTGAGCTGAAGAGCTGAGGGACAGCAGCCAGGCCCAGAGTTTAGGCCCCACGACTGGACCAAAAAAAAAAGAAAGAACTTGGTCTAGAAACATGAAAAGCATTAAGGAAGCCAAATTAAAACTAGGATGTTAATGCAGAGGCTAGTGTCTCACTCAGTCCTACCTATTCACAAGGCTAAGACATAGAGGATCTTAGTAGTCCAAGAGACTTGAAGGTGTGGCTCAAGTAGTAGTGCCCAAGTCATGAACAACAAAGCCAAAGGAATTGAGTTCAAGCCCTAATAACGGCACCAAAAAAAAAAAAAAAAACAGAGCTGGGCGCTGGTGGCTCATGCCTGTAATCCTAGCTACTCAGCAGGCTGAGATCTGAGGATCATGGTTCAAAGCCAGCCCGGGAAAGGAAAGTCCATGAGACTCTTATCTCCAATAAACCACTAGAAAACCGGAAGTGGTACTGTGGCTCAAGTGGTAGAATGCTCGCCTTGAGCTAAAGAGCTGAGGGACAGCGCCCAAACCCAGAGTTCAAGCCCCACAACCGACAAAAAACAAACAAAACAAAACAAAAACAGAAGCACACACACACCAGGATTGATGTTTTCTCTTTATACTTTTGTAAGTATTTTTATGTCTATATAGGATTCTACCAACCACATAAGTACTTTAATAATTCCTTCTTAGTTAAAAAAACCAGGATGCTTAGAAAATTATCACTATGTTAGAAGCTGTGAAGTTTTAACATTATAAGGAGTTTTTAAGGACTCTGACCCCTAATTTCACTCTTTATTAATATTTTCTTTCTTTCTTATTTTTTTTTTAAGGCAGAAAAAGAAGTTTATTTACTGAACCGCTGCCCCACCATGCATGGTAGAAAGGAAAAGCATGGCTGAAAAGGAAAGGGGAGGGGAGGCAACATTTTCATATATAGTTTTAAGAGTCGTGAAAAAATGTTTTTAATAAAATGTAAAGTATCACAAAATATTCCACTTCTTTGTGTTTTATAATTTCTTTCCTATGATATTTCTATGATAACAAAAAAAAGACTCTAAGTCTTAGCACTAACATAGTGGAAAAGCCTGCTATCACATCACATGGATTTGAAAGTTGAATTCACACATCAGTGATCCAAAAACCTTCAAAGAATTTAACAGTGTCTGTCAAAAGCAACAAAAACATGACTAGTATGTGCACAATCTTTGCAAACAAAAATATAAAGAAAATGTAATTCATATTTTATACTTAACTCTTAAGCAAATAAGGTAGAAGGAAAGGAGGAGAGAAAGTGAGACTAAGAGAGGTAATGCTTTAGACACAGTTATGGTGGTACATACCTGTAATCCCAGGACTAGGGAGCCAGAAGCAAACACAAGCCAGGGCTACAGTGGAGATGCTATCTCCCAACACACAGTCAAACTACAAACTTTAAAACATAGTGAGTCCAACACAACAAATCAAAGAAAGGTTGGACAAATGGGATTGCATAAAGTTGCAGAGCTTCTGCATGGCAAAGGACATAGCTAGCAAGATCAATAGAAATCCCACGGATTGGGAGATCCAGCCATACAATGTACAAGGGTCTCATATCTAAAATATACTTGGAACTCAAAAAATTAAATCCCCCAACAACAAATCCTCAAAGAAACAACTGCCCAATAAATAAGTGGGCTAAAGACTTAAAAAGAACCTCTCTGAAGAAGAAAGGATGGCCAATAGACACATGAAGAAATGTTCAACATCCCTAGCCATAAAAGATATGCAAATCAAAACACATTGAGATACCACCTCACTCCAGTTAGAATGGCAAAAATCAAGAACTCTAACAACAACAAATGCTGGAGGGGATGTGGACAGAAAGGAACCTTACTTCATTGTTGGTGGGAATGTAAACTTGTTCAACCACTTTGGAAAGCAGTATGGAGGTTCCTCAAAAGACTTCACGTAGAGCTCCCCTATGACCCAGCAATCCCACTTTTGGGCATTTACCCAATTGTTTACAAACAAGACCACACTAAAGCTACCAGCACAACTATGTTTATTGCAGCATTATTTACCATAGCTAAGATATGGAACCAACCCAGATGCCCTTCAGTAGATGAATGGATCAAGAAAATGTGGTATACATACACAATGGAATTCTATGCCTCCATCAGAAAGAATGACATTGCCCCATTTGTTAGGAAATGGAAAAACTTGGAAAAAATTATATTAAGTGAAGCAAGCCAGGCCCAAAGAAACACAGGTCCCATGGTTTCCCTTATTTGCAATATCTAGTATACGTATGAGTCAAGTGGAAAAGGTCAGATAATGGGATGTTAGGAAAATGAACCCTTAGATATGTATTTAATGTTTTTTTTCTTTCATGCATGTGTTTCTAACGCATTTATAAGATTATTTCTTTGTTGCTTTGTATGTCCCTCCCCCACAGTATAACCCCCGCTTTCACTATATTTGGTGTCAGTATAACTTGTGGAGGAGATGGTGAAAACAAGTCGTTTAAGGATTCAGGTGGACCTGTTGCAACAATGAGAAGTACAAGTTGTCATGTCAAAAACGAGCTTTACAACGTTGGTGCAATGGGGGGGAGGATGGGGGGGAGGATGGGGGGGAGGCTGGGAAGGGATGTGAAGGGTAAACAAAGGAGGAGGCTGCAATGCTTGGTAAGAAATGTACGCATTATTCTGCCCATGTAACTGTAACTCCTCTGTACAATGTTCACAAATAAAATTAAATTTAAAAAAAAACAAAACATAGTGAGTCCAAAAAGACAATGAGAGAACATGGTAAATGGCAAATTGCTCTGATGAAATAAACTAAATGTAGCATAAAGAAAGAGAAAGCAAAGCCAAGCGCTGGTGGCTCATGCCTGTAACCCTAGCTACTCACTGAGAGATCTGAGGATTGCAGTTCAAAGCCAGCCTGGGCATAAAAGTCCATGAGACTCTTATCTCCAATAAACCACCAAAAAAACAGAAGTGGTGCTTTGGTTCAAGTAGTAGAGCTGAAGAACTGAGGGACAGCACTAGGCCCAGAGTTCAAGCCCCATGACTGACCAAAAAAAAAAAAAAAACAGAGAGAGAAGGCAGTATCAAAAAGCAGTTAGGAAACATGGAAAAGTAAAAGGCCTCCAACCAATTAGAACTGCAAAAAAGAGAAAAGTGAACAAAAAGGACAAGAGGTATTCCGAATCCAATAAGAAAACAACTCCAAGAATCCAAAACATATTCCAAACAGGAATTCAAAGAGGAAAATCCACACACACACACACACACACACATACATATACACATATATACGTATGTACGTACATCTGCATTTCTGGGAAGCTGAAAAATACTAAAGTCAAAACTTTATCTTAGGTCTGGGAAGATGGCTCAGTGGTAGAGCGCTTGCCTTACATGCCGGAGGCCCTGGATTCGATTCTTCAGCAACACATAAGCAAAATGAAAAAAGCCGGAAGTGAAGTGGCGCTGTGGCTCAAGTGGTAGAGTGCTAGCCTTGAGCTGAAGAGCTGAGGGACAGTGCCCAGACCCAGAGTTCAGGCCCCATGACCGGACCCAAAAAAAAAAAAAAAAACCACCAAAACATGTTTCTTATTAAATGAAAATACACATTCTTTTCATACAACTCAGCAATTCTACTCAGAAGTATTTGTCCCAAAACAAAGGAATGCATATGTCCACTAAAGTTTTTTTTGTCAGTCATGAGGCTTGAATTCTGACCCTGGGCACTGTCCCTGAGCTCTTCAGCTCAATGTGAGTACTCTAGCACTAAAGCCAAAGTGCCACTTCTGTTTTTCTGGTGGCTAATTAGAGATAAAAGTCTCACAGACTTTCCTGTCCCAGCTGGCTTGAACTGCAACCCTCAGATCTCAGCCTCCTGAGTAGCTAGGATTTATAGGCGTGAACTATCGGAGCCCAGCTCCACTAAAGTTTTATATACAAATGTTAGTATCAATTTTATTTATGTCAGTCCAAACCACAAGAAAACTAATAGTCACCAACAAATGAATAAAGAAATTTTGTAATATCCACATTATGAACTACTAATTGACCAAAAGAACCAGTAACATGGAATAAGAGGTAAATCTCAAAAACATAAGCTGAGTAAAAAGTCCTAAGAGAATCAACAGGCCAGGCACCAGTGGCTCACGCCTGTAATCCTAGCTACTGTGGAGGC